CCTGACAGTGTGTAACCTGACCCACTTTTTTGTATGCCTTCTCCACTGGAATGTGACTTTCAGAAGGACAGGGGCTTTGTTTTGTTTACTGCTAAATCCCTCTAGAACAGTGGGGGCCAGTAAATGCTCAATGAATCTCTGTTACTGTTAAGAATGAAATAAGTTGAAATCATCACTGAATCTGCTCCACTTCTTCAAGGGGACAGCTTTATAACCGCACCTCCATTCTACCCATCCTTCCATAAGTGAAGGAGTGACTTTCTAGTGATTTGAGCTTATACCAATTTTATCAAATATATTTGATTGAATTGGCAACAAATTCCAAATAGCCACATGTTTCAAGTCCATTTAAAAGCATTTTATACTTCCAAATACTAACAGCAACTTAATGTCTCCATATTTTAATGACAAATTTATTCATAGCTATTTGATATGATATGTTTTCTAAATTAACAGGAATTTGGTTTATATTGAAAAACTTGACGGGGTATATACGCACATTCACATTTCTGAAATTTCACTTAGTGACATTTTATTTAACAGAACTCCATTCATCCTCAGAAATGAAAAAAGATTTGAAATAATCTAGACATGAAATCAAACATTAATACTACAGTTTTAAGAATATAATAGTGACCTGTAAAACTTTAAAATCCTTTAAAAAGTTGAGAGAATTAATTTACCAAGAAACATCTTCCTAGAATCAATCATAAAAATAATTTATGAAAAAAACACAAAATCCAGTAGAAGATAAAATGATCGACAGTATCTTGCATGTATTGTGTATACTTGAGCTTGAACCCTTTATTTTGAAAGTGATGCTGAACACATTCTTGAAGATTGGCAAAGGGAGATGGTAGAGGCAAACGGCTTCCACTGGACAGAGGCTCAAATAGTAAGAAACACAAGAGGTTTGCTTTTTCCTGAACGAGAACCATTTAGTCTCTTGTCAATAGAAGGTCTTCCAATTTATTCATTAACCCTGATCGCCATATGTGTATGTAACTGACAAGAAACATGATCTATATTGATTACCATAGTATCCATCACAAAGCCACTAAACGGCTGGTGGTCTTCTGAAAACATTTTCAAACATCTATTCTTATTCTTCTGGTTACAGTTCCTTCTTCAGCATCACCTGCCAACCTTTTATTTTCAGTGCCTTCATAATAGAAGCCCTGGCAGGAGATTACAAAACTGGAGGCTTGAATTATTACAATGTAGAGAAAGGCACAACAGTGTTTTGGAGAAAAGGGAATAACACAGGTTTGGTAAAACGGAAAAGATAAATTGCAAAAGATAAAAATCAGAAACCCATCACACCAAGAACCAATATCTAAGATATTTGTTTACTAAAATTATGGAAAAGCCAGTCCAAAGAATAGGAAACAAGGATAATTAAGGATAACAAATGGGATTGCAAGGTTCAGAAAATGACAGTGCACTCATTTTCAAAGTAAAAGACAAAGATATCAAGTATAAATGCCAGTTGATATAGGATTTCTCTTACAAGGGTTCATAGACTAATTGGTTTTAATATCTAGATTTCTACATCATGGGGACCTTAGAAACACCAAAAAGCGTTCTCACTGATCTCCTAATCGTATGAGAGAGGGGATCGTGGCTTTCCTCGCTGCCTTCTTTCCCCTTCCTTTCCAGTGAAAGTAACTGTACTGGTATTTTCTCTTAATATGACTCCCAATGTTGGAAAAATAATGATCTTTTAACTTCCTGCAATTTTTTAGCATTGGAATTAAGTAGGATAATTGATGAAAAACAATTTACTATGTTTTCGAGCTCAAACTAACTTTTCATCTGAGGTATCTTGTGGTTTCTCCAAGAGTAAGTATAAGCCATGCGCATGATACAGGGCCTAATAATCTTAGAGTGACTTCCAAAGATAAAGCTCAAACACTGATGGAAAACTTAGGTTTTGGGGTAGAGACCAGATTTGGGGAAGAGGCGAATATAGTTCTTGGTTCCTGGTTCCATCATCATCATCAGAGAGAGAGAAATTCCCCCTTTGAAGATAAATAACAAAAAGATGCTTCTTATTAATAAAAAATTCTCTCATTAAATGCATATTACTGCTACTATATAACTTGCTGAAATAAATTAAGATCTTCATGCAATCTTTTTGGATATGCTACTAAATTCCAGGCACTATTCAAGGCACTGACAACACAATAGTAAGCAAGACAGACAACCATACCTGCCTGTGTGGAGTTCACATTCTATTAGGGGGGGAATTTAAAATAAAATAAATAAGCCATGTGGTGAATTAGAAGGTGGTAAAAGCTATGGAGAAAAAAATAGAGCAGAAAAGGAAAATATATAAGACCATATGGCATGTAGTTTAAATAAGGAAATCTAGAGATTTCTAAGAAGGTGATATTTGAGCAAAGATCTGAAGATGAGGAAATAAATCATGAGGATATTTGGGGGAAAGAGGCAGAAGTTTGATGTGGACGGATGCTTGGCAAGTTCTTGGAACAGCAAAGATGACAGTTTGTCAAGAGACTAAAGAGGAAACGTTCTTAAGAGATGACCTAAGAACAGTCAAGATCAGGGGTGAGAGGGTACATTATGTAGGGCTTTAGAAGCAAATACTAAAGCATCTAGTAATTAGCTTTTCATTGTATAGGCAAAGTGCCCACCCAATCAGAAAATATGCTATTCTGCTAGACTGGTGCCTACTAACTTCATAGCAGCAGCTTCGTGTACTGCACTAGAAGGACTTTGGTTGCTGCTCTCACAGCAGGTTTTGAGAAGAGCGAAATGACCCGAGCTCACTCTTGCTAATGTGTTGTAACTTGACTCTAGGGGCCAAGGGCCAAAGCAAGGAGGCTAGTTTGCAGGTTATTAAAATATTCCAGGTGGTGAATGTTGAAGTCTTGGTCCAAAAGATGGTTAGTGAAGAAGTCAGAGTATGGATATACATACTTTGAAGGAAAGCCAACAGTATCAGGTAGTCCATTTGACATGATTTTGCGACAAAAATTGGAGAGAGAGAAAGCCTTTTAGCCCTAGACACTTGGGGGTTGGAGTTGACAGTGAGATGGGAAGCCTGAAAGGAGGCAGGTTCAGGGTGCAGGAAGAGAAGTTTGGTTTTGTAAATGTGAAATGTGAAATGTCCATTAGACATCAAGTAAAAATGTTTAGATACATGAATTCAAATGAAAGGATATTACCAGTCTTTACAGTGAATCCCAAATACAAAGAACATTAACTTTCTAGCACTAAAATCCTATCATTATGTATTTTTAAATTTTTAGGTAAGAATTTATAAATCAGCATGCAAATATTTCAATACTATACAATAGAATGAATTGTGTTTATATGCATATAATGTATTTTTTCTTAAAAGCAAATTGTTTATGGTTGCTGTCTGATACTTTTATGGTGCCAGTTAGAAAAAAAAGGAGAAAGAAGAGAGCATGCTGATTTGTAATTTTAGAGAGGTGGTGCTCCGAGATAAGGATTTTTGATGATGATGTTGCTGTGTGAAGACAGACCATCTCGTCCTCATGGCCTCTTTTCATTGGCCAAGTACTTAACTCTTGATAACAGAAACCCGTGGCATTTTAAAGTAGTTTTCTGTATTTATAATTAATAATACACTATAATACCCTTTTTAGTGGCAAGAAGTGAAGGCCATATCTCTGGCTTTTCATGAGTGCTCTGGTCGTCCTGGGCTTATTTCCCCCCATGACGCTTATATATTCACTGCTGGAAATTTGGGCTCCTTCTGACATGGCTTTAGGAAGAGGTGGCAATAACGATAATAACTATCATTGATAACCTCAAAAACTCTGTATGGGAAATCATCTCCGTCTGAGCCACAGAAAGTAAGGTCTATCATAGAGGGTTCTAGGTAAGTGACTCTTTTCCCTCAGTAGTTGACTTTTTCATCCACAGGTAAGATAAATGAGAAAAATTCACAGAAGATACAATGCATATTTATTGAATGAGCATTTATTTCAAGTCAGGTTGAATATTTTTATTTTACTTAATATTTTGAACTGGGATTTTTTAAATAAGATTTATTTAAATCAATGGGGTTTTTTTTTGTAATCCAAATTTCTGAATTTAGTCACTTGCCTAATCCAATAATTTTATGTGAAGTGTGAAAATAACACTTTATTTACTGCTATATGCAACTTAAAAGTTAATTTACTTATTTACTCAAAATAGCTTCAAAAGCCTGTCTAGATGTTTAGAATACTGAAAATATCATCTTGATAAGATGAACCATGTTTTCCCCTTTAAACCCCAAACATTCAAATATCAGAATATTTTGTGTATCATCACCTAAAGAGCTAACTAGAATTTCTCTCATCACAAAGTTATTGTTGTCCATTTTAGAAATCTCCATTTCACAGATGCAACAGATCCAGTAAGAAAAGACTGAACATTCACCATATGCAAAATAAATGCTTTTTTAAAGCAGAAACGTGTATTTATTCAAAAATTATATTACACCATTTATGATAATGTATGGAAATACAATATATTCCTCAAAAGGTCAAACATATTTGAGCCAAATAGTAAGATGCTTAGTATTCTTATCAAGCACTTGTATAATTACTTCTTAGACATCTTATTGTTTCTGGAAATTTTGAAAACAAAAACTACTTGGTCTTTGGAGTTTTATTTATCTTTTAAACAACTTTGAAAACTGAAAAACTGGATTAGGAACAAAGAAAATGCTTTGCACTTCTGTTATTTGTAAACCCATTATATATAGTTTATTACAATTTTTCAAAATAGTTGTGGATTGATTTGCTCTTAACAGTTTTGTTAAAATTTATTTCACTATTCATCTATGTCCCTCTCATTCACCGTGAGAAGCAATTTTGACAGAATAAATACACTGGTATCATTAAGGACAAAAATATTTGAATTGAAACTTAAGTCAAATACTGACCAAACACTTTCTAAATTGTAACAATGTCCATTATGTACTATAAAAGTGCATTGATTGTATTTAAGTCCTATACTTATTTGATTCCTAAATTTTTTTTTTTTTTCATTTCAACAGTATCATTTGCACTCCTTCTTCTCTGAACAATAGCTCAGCTTGAGTGTTTCAATCCACATAATTGCTATTTTATATTTTTTTCCTACAGTCAGGGAAAATAAATTCCTACACTCAATACAGAAGAGACTTCATAGTATTATCTCTATATGTGGAATTAATCTATGCATGTTTACAAAATAAAAACTTGATTTTGTAAAAGAAATTATATTCTCTAAGCCATTAAGACCATGATATAACAATGTTTCAAGGCCAAGAATCCTTTTGTATTTTTACTTATTTGCCCTATTTCAAACAGTAAGTAGTGCTGAATAGCTTCAACAGTATATTAGAAAGCAGGTTTTTTAACTAAAACAAAAAATAAATACTTTTCACTACTGAAGATAATATACAACCTGAATACTTAACCAATTGTCTACTTTTGTTCTAATATATTTTATATTACCTGCTGATTCTTACATGATCTAATGGCCTCATAAATTTAAAATGCACTGCCGTTTTTAGGCTACATTTCTATTTAGTACACATAACATGGAATAGATGCCTATTAGCTTATCGATGTGAAAACCATATCCTAAAGTTCAAATACCATGCTAGAGCTCTGCTCATTTCACTTTGTGTTGAAAATCTCTCTGAAATATCCTCACGTCTGATGGCAATTTTCCAAGTAATCATATTAATACACACAAAATAAAAAGCAAAAGAGATAAATTATTAACTAACCAGACCAATTAGACATTTAGATAAAAGAACAGAAGAGTGCATAGCCTTTCAGCAGGTTTACTTGATATAACATTTCTAAAGGCGCATAGACATGTCCATAAGCCTTTAGGTTGTTTATAGAAGAAAAGGAAGCCTGTCCCTGAGGTCACACTGCGATGGGTCTAAGGGTTTCTTTTTGTTAATAAACATGTTCCCCGATGTCTAAAACAACTCTCCATTTTCTTGATGCATGAGGGACATTTCTGTTCCCTCAGGAAAATTACAGATACTTCAAATGTTTAATTTAACAATGTGACCTAGTTTACAATATTAAAGAGATCCTAGCTGTTTGGCTTTCCTGCTTATGACTATATGAATTTTCAGTACTGTAAACAAGCATTTTATATGAAAAGACTTAAGGAATGCCTTTGCTTACATTTATTGTGCAAAGTATTATTGAAATAGAAGAAAGAATGCATGCCCACTTCAAAAACTTGCTTGCAAAACTCTGTGTAATACTTGTGTGTTGTTTGAGCATAGTGCCAGGTTTGTCAATAACAGGTGTTCAAGTTACTGTATTGGACATACACAATAAAGACACGCTGAACGGGAGTGTTCACAGCAAAGCCTCAGATATCGTTCTTCCAATGATATCTATGTTTCACCCTCACTATATAGATGTATTTACTTTTTGGATGAGAGTACAAATAGAATCCCTATTCTACTATCACTGCTTTATTCCATTTTTAAAGAGGCACTTCATATTTCTTAGAGTAAATTTTCATTAGTAATCTCTTCTTTTTAAAATATCGGTCAAAAATGTGTACAACTATCACTGACAACAGTTATTTATTTTAAAGCAGCTTTGGAAGCAGCTGCGCCTGAAACATCAGGAAGGAAAAAAAAAAAAAAGATACAAGAATAAAAGGTAGAGCAAGTGGGGTAAGAGAAGTAAATGAACTACTGGCCAATTCCAAATCAAATGTGATCACTTTTTGATGTCTACATAGTTTCAGGAAGAAGATACCTAAAAACACCAAATAGTCTAGTGTTTGTGTGTCAGTGTGTGTGCGTGGGAGTAGACCATCACAATTAAATTGGCATATAGGGCTGCTTAGTTAAGTTATGTAACGACAGACCCAGCTACAGGACAGAAAATCACATGAGGGGGGAAAATCCTGAACAGGGCTAGTAAGCTGGTGAGGAGGGGAAATTTTATGACATTGACCAAATATCCCTTAACTATGCAGCTTCAGACACATTCCTGGAAAATGAGTGACTCACAGACTGAACTAGATACAGCTATTTCAAAAGGCATCATTGTTGTAATTTTGCTTCAAATATATTACACAACCCAGCCGATTCTCAATGCTCACTTGAAGACGAGCGGCCCAGCAGCCATGCCTCTGCAGTTTCCAAATGTGGGGCAGGAGAGGCTGTGAGCGATACTTCTAATTAGGGAGGTATGGACGTAAAAAATATCCCTTCCTAGTTATTTTTATATGACACTAGTCTAATGATAGAGGAAAGGAGCTGGCTATGCTGCTTGACATCTGAAGCTGGTAGAATTCTGAAAGTTGGCAATAAATGAAAAAAGAAAGGAATGAGAATAAAAAGTTCACTGCCTCTGTGCATCATCTGGCCTAACACTTGCTTATATAGCATACGAAGCCCAAGGCTGTAAAATGTATATCAGGTTAGCAAAGGATAAAAACACCAATGGTCAAAGATAAGAGTTGCAGTGGTTTTTATCCCCAATTCATTCCCATCTCTGTGATATCCATGGGTAGAGCAGAGTGCCTGACCGATTTTATTCTTCCACACTTGACTAGAGTTTGGCATTTTTAAGGGATCTTTCATGTACGTTATGTATATTTATGTATGTTTACCAAATATTAGACTGTCCATTGGCGATACTGCAGGTTGGTGTACTGATCTTGATTTTAAGATTCTTGACTGTAGAAATATAACTGAAAGTTTTTAAGTTTTTAGCTAAAAAGTATGTAAAAGCTGCTACACACTTTTATTTTTGTTGATTTCCAAGAGTTCCTTGAGGTATTTTTCTCTCAAAAGAATATTTTAATGGTAAATTCTCAATCTCAAAAATTACCACTCTGAAAAGGTGGTAAAATTTTTGCTTTTTTCACATTGGAATTTGAAATTTAAAGTAGGATTTTTTTAAATGTGCTATAATTGTAGAACTTTTTTATGAAATAAAAACTTTCAATAGCATAAGGATTCCAAATCTACATTTAAACTATAATATGTTATCTCAGATGCCCTCAGATGCTTTCATTATGTCTCCTGGATGCAATATGTTCTTTCAATCTTTTCTGAAAATGTGTACTTACAGGATCATTAGGAAAATTAATTTGAATTTGAGAAAAACTTGTATTACTCTTGATCACCTGACACTGCCTATATATGTTGAGACCTGTTGTTTTGAAAAAAATACATTTCACTAAAATGACACACATTCAAGATTTCATTACAAATTAGTTTGAATTCCTGTAAATAGGTTCATTAAAAGTCTGTTTTACTATATCTTATTTTCATTAAGTTTAGAGAGAGTAGTTTTCCAGAGTTAGCATCTCATGTTATATCTATACCATCTCTAAGGCCATTGAATATGTATGATTTATTTTATAAGCCTGTCACATCAAGGATTTATTAGAGCTCAGTAAAAATATATATGTGTGTGTGAATATACATGTTTTTTTAACCAGTACACTATAATTAGAAATTAGCCCCTTATCTGTATATAGCAACTTTTATGTTCAAAATTGGCTGTCAAAGCACTATTTATGTATAAGTTCTCTTTCTCTTGGCCAAAGAGTTTTGGGGGGAAAATGTTCTTAAAGTACATCAGACAGGAATTCAACGAGGTCTTGAATAAAGGATGCATTGTGAAGACAGCAGTTTAAAAAGAATCCACTCTCACAATTCCACATCTTTGTTTGAGAAACATATCCTTTTACAAGACTCCAGGAATTAAACAACATAGAAGAGTTCGAATGTTCACGTTACCAGATTATCTGCCACTCCTTGTCTCCAAAATGCAAGGCCAGTGATAGTGCCTAGAACACATTTTCTGTAAAATGAAAATCACTAGACAGGAAATACATTTATCATAATTTCTTACAATCATCTAGTTCCTTGTGACCATTAAAATTACAGTTGAATATGACAGAGTTTCAGAGAAAAACAATGAAACAATCACTATGAGAGCTGAAATATGGCTTCATAGGAAACAGGGCTACATTTAATTAGCTTTGATTATTTATGTGTCTTTTATTTTTGTTATAGTTCACATCATTGGCATGAAGTCATGAGCCAAACTTTTCCAATTTTAGTTATTACCAAAATTTACAAACTTGACATAAAGATTACATTGTATTTACAAAGAACTTGGCACTTACAGAATAAATTATTGACTTTTTAATCCAAACCAGGGCCCCCCCATGGTTCAGGCAAATGGGAAAGCCTGATGCCTTATTATATATTATGCTACATTAACAGGAATAAGTAAGTTTCCAGCTGGTAATTCCTCCACAGTGCTGTCCCTGTTGCTGAAAACAAGTACCTTTCATTTCAAATCCATGGGGAGCGTAGAGAAGGTTATCAGTCCAGAGAGAGCAAAGGCTGCATGTTTTCTTCCTCATTTTTATCCATGCGTTTTAGTACTGTGGGATCCACTACTGATTGGGATCTGGAAATGATAAGGCCAGTGTTAGTGAGCTACTCCCAAATAATCACATTCTCCTCTCTGCCTTTTCTGCATTATGACTGCTCTCACTGATGTGGATTATCTTACTTTGCATCGAGGAATTTATGAGCTGAGAATGCTGCACATTGAGAGAGGCACACTTACGGCGGGGTTTGCATCAGAGGAAACGATCCCCTCTGGCCTCTAAATGTAATACTCAGCAGCAAGGGATTCTAAAGACACAATAACAGTCTTAAGCTCTCTTCACAATGGAGCAAGAGTCTTTTCTTTCAGCTTGAGAATTTCTAGTATAGTACAGATGGATTCCAAATGGGAAATTATCACAGGAAAATTATTGTTATGAGACATGAAGTAAAAATGATAGGAGCCTCAATTCCTGTATTAAAGGGCTCTCTGAAATACATTCAATGTGAGCGCACATTTTTTCAACCATCATTTTTTATTTTTAATGATCACATTAGGAAAAAATTCAAAATGTGAATGAGTTTTGTTCAATTTCCCACTACAACATTTGAATAAAATCAATCTTACTCGAAATTTTGTGAAATGTTGTAAGACTTTTAAAAGTTAAAACTCTGGGTGGCTGGGTGAAAAAAATGAAGAGATTAGGAACTTACAACATAGTCATGGGGATGTAAACTACAGCATTGGAAATATAGTTAAGTGGGTGGCAAGGCTCATCGAGGGGATACTTTATAAGTTATATAAATGTCTAGCCACTGCATAACCTGAAACAAATGTAATATTGAATGTCAACTGTAATTTAAAAATTTAAAAATAATAAGTTAAAACCCCTCATGTTTAGGCAGCAGCTCTTTATGATCAGAAAAGCAAAATAATTTGAAAACCCCTTACACATGCCTTTGGTAGCAGGTGGGAATTTTATATTAAGAAACAACATAAAATGGGCAAGGAGGAGAGTTAATGAGACATGCTACTGTTGTGGCAGGAAGCTGCCATCCTAATAGCTACAGCATTAAGGAAGCAGCTGCCCTTTTACAATTCTCCTTGGTAATGAAATTTTCCCCTGCTGCCGCATTCCAGCCAATTGGCTATTGCTGTGCCTCTTAGCAGACCTCATTAACTTTCGCACAGAAAGGCTATAAGCTAAACTACAACTGCACATGCTAATGAAAAAGAAAAGCAATGGGACTAATTATCAAAGCAAAAATAATTACAGGATTAACTGATAAATTCAGTCCTTCATTTAAATAAACTTAAATTCCTTTCTAAAGAGAGAATGAAAGGACGGTGGGAATACTAAAACAGGGAGGTTTTATTTCATAATTCATTTTTACTATTTTATCTCAGTGATAGGCAGTAGATGCCTGTATCAGAAAGGAGACTGACTAAAGTTGAATGTGTGTGTGTCTGTGTGTCTGTGTGGGAGAGGGAGAGCAGGAGAGCAGGAAACCTGGAAGGAAGGAGTGAGAGAGGTGGGAGGAAGGAAGGGAGAGAGAGGAGAAGTAATAATTTATCTTAGAAAAAGTACATGAATAAAGTACATTTTAACACAGTGAGCAATTGCACAAAATACTTAGTAATTACACCTTTAAAATTCTTTTTCTTAGAATTAACTAAAAAAAGATTAGTTTCCCAAGATGAATCCATACTAAAACATACAGAGGTTCATTTACTGTTCTGCACTGAAGTATTACCTTGATACTGGTACCCACTAGTCTATAAATTCCATGAGCAGAGACCTTATCGCTTTCTCTCCTACTGCAAGCACAATGTGTTTCACAGTCTGTTACACAGTAGGATCTCAATGTATTAAGTTCTATCCGATAGTTTCCAAAATGAAACAAGTTCAGTATTAAGTGTTCAAAATTAATAGCAATTTATCCTGTGGAGAAATTCTTAACAGAAAATGTCTTTTAAAATTCTTGTCAAGTTAATTCTATTAGATAAACATTGAGGTCTATCCTAATAACATTCAGTAGGCACACACCAAAGTCCTTCAGGCAGTACAAAGTACACAACTTAAGCATTTGCTGTAATGTTCTATTAAAACACACACACAACCTGAGAATAAGTGCCTAGTTTTCTTTTATCATGTACTATAGATATAAGAATGGCTGCCTCCACATGCACAAAAATGCCTTGATAGAACAAGCCAGGCAGAAACAGTTTCTGATTAAGATGATTAAGAATTTTTGGTATTCAATTGTCCCAAGTGTACTGTTATTTTAGCCCAACAACACTTTGTTGTTGTTGTTGTCCTCTTAACAAAACAAAGGGTTATTTGTGCAGGATCGTAACTGTTAATGAACTGGTCTGTTTCAGCTGCAACAGAGGGAGTTGTCCATTGTTGAGTCATAGTACATTTCAGCAGTCTCCACACAGACTCTACTGTCTCTGCAATAAATCAGTTTTATTTTTTTATTAAAGCAAATAATTTACATTTCATTATCCAGGTATCACTTATTCATTTATTATGCATCTACAATATTATGCTATACCTTAGTGTTTAAGAGGCTAGGTTTTGGACAGAAGTGGATCCCAATTCCAGTTCTGCTATTCACTATCTCTGTGACTATGGGAAGGCTATTTAAACTTCCTAAAATTGTGTTCTCTTATCTGTAAAATGGGGAACATAGCACCTACATCATACAGATGCATTGAGGATCAAATGCAACTGCATAAACCCCAGCAGAAATTCGGCAGACAGCAATCTACTGAACTTTATATCTTTTCACATGACTATGCTCTCCCTCCGCAATTTTACACAGAGGGACAAAGTCTTTGCCCTACACATCTAGCTAAGTTCACCCCAAGGAACAATGATCTAAAACTCTTTGGTGAAGGAATGATTTTTTTCTTTCCCTCTCAATCTAAATATGAGGGAAAACTGAAAAAGAAACCAGAGGAGAGGAGGGAAAGGTGAAACCTGGGAACAGTTTTCTCTCCTTGATGGGGGATCTGACATTCCCTAACAGAGAGAAGATGAGAGCCAAGTAAAACAACTTTCTGAAAGAAAACATTCTTTCCAAAGTTTTCAAATAGAACAATGAAAGCTCCATAGGATACAAAGCCTATACCAAACAAAGGATGTCTGAAATGATAAGCAGCCCACGTCAAAAGCAAGAAACTCAGGGCTGGGGAGGTCGATGTGCTGTGAGCCAGTCTACAGGGGGAAAAATGGCCTAATTAATTGGAGGGAAAAAATCAGGATCCATAAAGACTTCAAACGGTGCAGAGACTGAGCCAAAACTAACAAGATGGTATTAATCGATTAGAGTAATGCGCTTGGAGGAAAAAGCTAAACATAGAAACAGAGAATAATGAGGATGTGGATCTAAAAGTAGACTTACTAGTGTTAGGCCGCACAATATGAGTCAGCTACCTGAAGGACAGCAACAGCACAACAGAAACGACAGGAAGCCAAGGAGGTCTACACTGCGAAGCCAGAATTCTAGAACCTCAGTGCAAGTAGCAATAGCATCAGACGTTACCTGTTCAGTTCTCAACATGGCACTTAGAAGGGGCCACTGACGGGCAGCTGAGGACGCCTTCATTTTTCAACTAGTACCTAGTGAGCACCCTCCACGTGTGGCCCTACGCCAGGTACTGGGGCCTTCGGGACAGGATAGACAAAGCCACTGAAGTCTCCCTGGAGTTTACCTTGGGGGTGGGGTGTAAAATTAAATAAGTCATTTCACAGGCCAGTAAGTGCTATGAAGAAAATAAAGGAAGTGACTGAAAAGGAGTAACTAGAATGAGGGGAAAGGAGAACTGATTAAGACCTGGCGATTGACAGTGTCCAAAAGGAACTCTCCAGCAAATGACCTTTGACTGGGCCAGCCACTGGACAGTGTAGGAAAAGAGCACTGGGACAGAGGTGACAAGTATTAAGACCCTTAGGCAGGAACAAGTTGGAGTGTATCCGAAAGGTAGGAGAGGAGAGAAAAGGTAAATAAACTTAGGAAAGAGACGTAGGCAAGATCAGATCATGTGGCACAGTGTAAGCCGCGATATGGAGTTGACTTTATGTTGTATAATCAGCAGGCATTCAAAAACTTAAAGCAGAGAAGTGAATAATCAGGTTTATATTTTTAAAATATATTTTTGGTTGTCGTGTGAATAAATGGAGGGAAGATGAGCGGGGCAGCGGTGGACGCAAAAGCAGCAGGCAGAAGGTTTTGGGGGCAGTGCGGGCGAGCAGAGTGCAGGTGGTGGGGGTGCAGCTAAGGTGGTAGAGGACATGGAAAGACGTGTGCTCAGAGGAGGGGATCGGGTTAGTTAACATGTCATAGAAGGAATGGCTTAAGGAAACGAGCATTGCTAGCTGAACAAGGGGAAGACTAGGGAACACCTATGGTGGCTGTCTCTGAATATTTATATAGCTCAGTTCTAGAGTGAGGGCTCCCTGTGTCACGCCCTCACGGAAGAGTAGACAAAGGGTATGTGAACAACACAGAAGACTTTACACCTCATGGCCCGGGACCCCGTCTCAGTGCATATAGACTGTGTAACTTTGGACATACAGTATCTGTTTAACAGGGTTGCTGTGAGGATCAAACAAATTAATGTCACCAAAAAAAATGGTACCTTGTTAGGGGCCCAATTCATGAGAAGTATATAGTAAATGGTAGATTGTAATGACTAATATTAGGATTAGGATTTTTATGAGAAGAAACCCATTCTGTAGCAATGGTTTGTAAATATTTTTATTTTAGAAAACTTTTTGGAGAATTTGATGAAATATATGCCTTTTCTCCAGAAAAATGTACTATATATATATACACACCTTTCTATACACAGCTTTGAAGACAACTTTTAACACTTAATAGACCCCATCAAGAGCCCATCCATGGACTCCTTTGGTTAGGACAGCATAAAACTCAAATTAAGAAATGTTGTTTTGTGAGAAAGGAGTTGAGAAGCTTAAGTTTGGTTTAAATATAAGATGATTAGTGGAGAAATTAAAGCTGGAGATGCCACTGGCCTTTTTATTATCTCCAAGGAGCGGGGGGGCTGCCTGGGGAGAGGAAGACATCGCACACACACCCGCAGTGGCAACAGCAGCAAAAAACATAGAGGCGAGCTCAAAGAACAGGGGTGTCCCCGCATGGGTCAGCAACGACAAGAGGACCGTAGGACTTCTATCAGAGAAGGATGCAAGGGGTGTTTGGGACGGCACGTAAGATGCTCCTGGGTCCTGCCTGAGCTAGGAAAGGAGACTTGCAGGAGCTGCGGTTCCTTTATTGCTATGATGGGAAATGAACCCATAATAAATATTTTTTACATTATTCACATGAACCCTGGGCTGGTGTGGCCTGGGGATACCTGGGAATTAGACATTTTCTAGTTAGCTACAGAATGCAAAGTCAGAGGCAGTTAGGAATTTGTGCATGTCTGGCAACTCCCCCGCCTTCTATCACTGGATGATGGCTGGATGCACATTTTACTCACGTTGGACCCAAAACACCCAGAAACGCACCTACTGCAGAGCATGTGTTCAATAAATATGCACTGATTGAAAGAAAACAGGCATAAAAATACTGTGAGTCAAAGCCGGGAGTCAGGCTCTGACTCAACTGACTTTTACAAAGATTAAAGCTGTAGGGAAATAGAATGTTTTGCTCAGGGAATGGCTAGGCCTTTAAACAGAAACTTGGCAGAAATACTATAAAGAGAACATAAGCTTTGAATATTAGTGTTTGAAGAGTGGGTTTGGGTGTGTGTGCGTGTGTGAGTGTTTGCTATGGATCCCTTTCTTCAAATGAAATCTTACACAGAAGTCCAATAAATTGCTTAAATAGAAGGAGAGTCATTCTCATTGCAGTGGAGATGGGCACTATCCCCACCCCACCTGCCTGGCCTGAGGAACTCCACCAATATCCTGAAGTGCAGTTTGAAAAAATCACTGGATTTAGTGACTTCTAAGGGCCCTGCTAGATAGTCTGTGAATTTGGAATAACACTGAGTTGAGGTTACCTTAAGTGACTAGCTTTGACCCAAAATTCCTAGACACCCAATCATGTGGGTATAAAATGCTTTAAAATCTCATCAAATATCTCCTTCAAAAAATATACAACCTGGAGTCAGACTTGGGATGCCTCCACCTTGGCCCCGGCCCGCTGCCCAGCTCCCTGCAGCATACCTCTTCATGGACTTGGGGGAGAGCTCCTTTTCCGCTTCTTTCACGGGCATGCTGTAGGAGTCCACATTGTAGTCGCTGTCATCGTCATACTCGTGGTCCAGCAGCGTTCTTGCCCATGTCCCCATGTCGTAAGGGGGCAGCATTCCTCCAAACTCAGAAGGCAGGATCTCAGGGTGAATTAGTTGGTGTAGACTATTCAGGTTGTTACCATGCAAAAATATCTACAAATACAAGACGAGAGGTGGGGGGAAACACAGAGGAGAATAAATATCATCCAAATGCTGTGGGGAGGGAATCACAATAGAAAAAGAAAAAGCAAGAGTTTTCCACGTCCATGAAAATATTTAAGCCCCTCATCCGCTCTGTGAAACAGACAGGCTGGTCCAATCATCCTAGTCTTTCACATAAAAATTCTGAGGCTCAGGGATTTCAAGTAGTTTCTAGAAGGCCTGCTAGTTACTGAGTTAAAGAGCTGGAACCAGAATTTGGCGTCCTGCTTCACAGACAGGGACATCAGCAGCATCTAATGTGCGTGTTGATCTGTACATCATTCCGACGCTAGTTGTGCAAAGCTGATGATCTGCATAATGAATGCTGTTAAAACAGATTATTCTCATAAGGGACTCATCAGCTACAAAGCCCGTCCAAGTTATTAAGCCCAAAAGCTGTCACTGGGATGGCTTTCTCTTTATCATCCATAAAAATAAGAATACTGTAACCACTAAATTACCACTTTGTAATGCAAAGTATGTGATGTAACTAAAAGTAGATTAGCATCATCATAATGAAAGGTTGAGTGAAGGTTCATGTCCCAAAGGACTTAAGTTCCGTAATGTCTCTAGCATCTTCTCTACTAGAGATTTCTATGTTTATTGTTCAAATAGAAAATGAAAAAACATTAAAATGTAAAGCTGTATGCATACGTTAATTGTGGGTATTACTGCCTACAAGAGCTTTTTTGTTAAACTGAAAAGTTATTCAAGGTACATACTCAAGATCTGTTTCCCCATAAATTGCTATCTCTTTTCTTTCATTCCAACCTTAAAACGGCAAACCAGTCTTCTCTGATAAAGCACTGTTGTCATCTCATATAAAGTTATATAATATTTATTTAAAGATTGTAGTTTATAAATAACAGAAATAATTTCACATTTCAGGTTCAAGATGAACAGGCTAACACATTCATCTTTGTTTTCCATACTTTTAGAACCTACTGACGTAAATATATTGGATGTCTACGACATCAAATAAAATCAAAGGGATGGGAGTCACCAATCGACAAGCAATTTCAACAAATTGTGGAAGGGTAAAAGCAGATGAGAGCAAGTCACTGACCAAAACAGGCAGAAAAAACAGCTGCCTGTAATACATGATGTGGGACCTACAGAGGTGGAAGACGCCATCTGCCCCAAAGTACATCAAGTTAATTGCAAACTTTATACCTTCCCACTCCTATTTGCAGAGCACAACAGCCCAGGAAAACACACACACACACACACACACACACACACACACACTCTGCTAGGTTCTTCCCATAAGAAATGAAAAGAATTTTTCCTGGGAAAGTTAAGCTCTAGCGCCTGAACCCCTTATTTTATTAAGTATACAACCTTTAGTTTATGAGATCCATTACTCCATGTGAGAAACCTCCTTCCAGTCATGCAAATGCACGGTAACACGCCTTAGGGAAATAAGTGTACTCCAGCACACTGCCTCTCTTCACTCACACGCTGTCCCCTCCCCCTCGACATCACTTTCAGCCTCGGCCTTCTTTCCTCTGTCACTGAAAAAACAGGGCCACCAGATGATGCCCACCCACCAGCCTCCGGGTCCACGAGCTTTGCCTTCGTTCCTAGGACAATGAAGAATAAACCTGACGAAGGCCAACCTCTCCACCTGTGCTTTGCATTCACCCTCTCTCTTGAATTATGTTTCTAAGCAATTCTCTCTGTCTCTCCCACATCATCAAATGTACTCGCTCTGCTGGATCTTTCCCATCACAGAGCAAACATGTCAACTCTGCTCTGCCCTTCCCCACACAGATACACAAAACCTCCCTTGGGCCTACTTCAACCTCCAGTTATTACCCCATTTCTCTCCTTCCCTTTATTGCAAAACTCATCAAAGAATTGTCTGTATTCATTTTCCAAGTACTCTTGTCTCGTTTTTCCTGAATCCAATGAAAATAGGTGTTGCCTCCCTCCACGGTCTGAAAACAGCTCTTGTTGAGATTCTCCTCATTGCTAAATTCATCATCCAATTCACAGTCCTTATTTTTCGTGAACTTGCAGAAGCACTGGGTAAAGCAGATGACTTTCCTCATGAAAACAATTTCTCCCGGGGTCTCTTGGTTTTCTCCTACCTTGATCAATGTGTTTTGGGGTTTTTTCAGTCTCTTTGGATGATTATCCCTCATTACCCCACCATCTTAATGTCAGAGAGCTGCAGGCTTCGGTTTTCAAATCTCTTCTCTTCTCTAACTGTACTCATTCCTGGGGGTTTTTATTTACTCTCATGGCTTTGAATGTTGTCGACACACTGAAAATCCATATATTGAATCCAGACCTCCAACTTTTATTTTCCTAAACTGTGCCATTAAAGAAAATACGCTAAGTGACTGGAGTGGAAAGGAGGAGGGTGGAATACTTTTGAAAATTAACAAGGAAAAGCAGAGTGAGTCCACCTTATTGAGGAAGAAGAAATTTATAAGAACTAGAAGTGAAACCTGTTTCCTGTCAACTCTTTTTTTTTTTAATATATCTTTATTGATTTCAGAAAGAGGAGGGGGGAGCGGGAGAGAGAGAGAGAAAGAGAGAGAGAGAGAAACATCAATGATGAGAGTCATTGATCGGCTGCCTCTTGCACACCCCTATGGGCATGTGCCCTGACCGGGAATCAATCTTCTATCTCCTGGATCCTAGATTGATGCTCAACTGCTGAGCCACACTGGCCAGGCTCTTGTCAGTGATTTTGTTGTATGTACTTTGAGTATCCTCATTGTTCGATGAAGCTGAATCTAAGAACTCAAGTAACTTGTAGTTTTAAAGGGTTATTAATATTTCCACAAATAACATTCTTTCAGAAATGTGTGACTGGTCATGGCAATCACTGAAAAATCATATTAGCTATCATAAAATTCACTATATGCAATGTAATATATATTGTGAAATAACTAATTCCATTTATCAACTTACAAAATTATAGCTTTTGTCTAGACCTACTTGATATTAAGTATACAACAACTATATATATAGTAACATGGCTTTTTTTACTTTTAAACTGATACATTAATATACAATGAATATATAATGTGCTAAAATGTTCTCCCAGTTGTGGAAAAGTAGGAGAGCTGGTTTTAAATATTTCTCTCACAGATACACTGTTCAGAATTAATCACATCTTTAAGAATTTTGAAATGTCTTGTATGCTGAATATTTATATGCAGTATAGAAGCACGTTTACCACAGCCAGTATTATACACACAGTATGCATCATAATTCAGAAGGTGAAGAATATAAAAACAGAAACAAACAAATACCCTTTTCCGAGTCTTCTCCTTTAGGAAAGGCCGGATTACAGTGTACAGGGCATGGATATACCACGGCTGGTTGACAAAATGAATTCCTCCGAATCGTGCTGGGAAGCTGTCCTAGAGGAACATGACGGAAAGAAAATCCAACATGGTTTAGCACGGAGAAGGTCTAGGGAAGGTCATACGGTAGACAAATGCTTTATCCTACACACTTCAATGACGTTATCTGTGGAGTTAGGAGGAAAAGAAAGAAGAAATTCATCACATTAAACGTTATAACTTCCATACAAAAGCTGAAGCAATATGTAACGAAGCAAATCCTTTCCAAGAATAGATTAAGAATTTCAGCATCCTTAGGACTTCCATAGTTTAAGCCCGCAAACTGCCAACAGCCATTGTAAGTCTAGGAACGTAAATAAAAGACATTAGAAATTTGTCAAATAATAAATCTATGATTCATAAGTGTTTTATTGAAATTATTTATATTTACATTGAAATGTATTTAAATTGAAGTGTTTATTAACTTTCACTATAGTCATCTATAATGTGAACAGTCAGATATCAAAACTCACTTTATTCTCTTTCTCTTATCAACTTTATTATAAACATTCTCCTTTCCTAATTTCAACAATTAACAAAAAGAAATGTGCTTAAGCAAAATAAAAACCTAGAATTGTAGTGTAAGAAATTTGGAAATGGATTCTGCCAAGCTAAATAAAAGTCAAAACCCTCCGAACTCACTCCACAGGTGGAAATGGGGCTCTCATAACACCAGAGAACATTTTTAATTTAAATGTTCTCTTGAACAAGATTAAAAGATTTAAAACATGCCTAACATAACCCAGTTAATGTATTTTGTTTTGGGGGACACTTATGAGCATTAGTAATTAATTTGTGTTTTGGATACTGATTTTCAGAGCTGATGAGCACTTTTGCAGAGTAATTTTTATCTCTGAGAATAACACACTATAAAAAACCCACAGTACCTCAAAAAATAAATAAATTAGAAGAGCAAAAGGTAAAATGTGATTCCTTTTATGTCAATGTCATTACTTCTTTCATAAATATGTAGTTTCATTCAGCAAAAGGTTATTACAATAATGGAAATGAACCAGATAGAAATGCAGACACCTATGTTTTGAATTTATGACATTTTTATACATGAAAAGAAGATAAACACTGCATTTAAAATAAAAAAAATGCTAAGATAAACACCAATGTGCCCTCCACTACTCAGCTTAAAAAATAGTAAAGCATTGGTAACCTTGAAGCTCACTGTGGTCATATTCTTTCACCCCCCCCACCTTTTAAAATTTCATATATTTCAAATATAAGCATTTCCCTGGCTTATATTTTATAAATATTATAAATATATAAATATTATATTTATTCTATATTTCATGTATTTCAATTTTTTTTGCTATATATATATGTACTCCATAAATATACTTTTAAGTCCTTTAAATACTTAAACTTTATAAAAACGTCCTTGCAGCGGACGTACTCTTCCGTTGCCACAGAACACTGTCTCTGAGGCTCACTGCGCTGAGGTCCACGCGTGCTGTGCACAGCTGTGGCTCCCTGTCACTGCTGCATAGGAGACGGTCTGTCGTATGGTGCGCCGCAGTTCACTTATTTTCTTCTGTCCGTGCGTCTTGCTTTCCAGATTGCTGGTCTGTCCTGCCATTACCAGCAGTGTTGCCCTGCGGACTCCGTCTTAAAGGCGCCTGTCGTGTACGCAAGTGCCCTGCAGTGGGGCATTTATCTGGAAGTGTCAGTGTGGAGTTGTGGAGTGTGTATGCTTCGACTTGACAAAACTGCCAGGGACATTTACCAGTTTATACTCCTCTTTCCCCCGGTAATGCAGGGAAGTTTCGGCTCGTCTGCATACTGTGCTTGGTAGTGTTCCTTTTTCTAATTTTGGCCAAACTAGTGGGTGTAACATAGATTCTCATCAGACTCTAACTTGCTAGTTGCTTGGTTTTTGCTCACTTTGTTTAATTCCATCATTAATAATGTTGTTTGATAACATAACTATTTTATACATAGGTATTTTATTTCTGAGTCCTTGACGACCTGAATTTGCTTGCTGACTCTGCTGACCTTGTTTATGGGATCTTGGTGGTGAGCTCATATTCAGCTAACATTAATCACTGGGAATCCTGAAAGAGCTGGCTGAGGATGTTTTTCTCCACATTCCCATTTTGTGCACCAGACTATGCCTGATTCATCTTTACATTCACAGCATTTCAAAGTGTGTGCATGTGTGTGTGTGTGTGTGTGTGTGTGTGTGTGTGTGTGTGTGTCCCATAATGGAACTAGATGAGTTTTTATTGAATGGAATAGATTCTGATTTACTTTTTAAGTAAACTACTTTTCTGAGCCACAATTTCCCCATCTGAAAAATGGGAACAACATTTAGCAGGACTCCNACCATAATGGCTAACCATAGCAGTTATCTTTGAACATACCTCCTAGGTACTGGGCTACCATATGCACTGTCAACCCCCACTTTACACACCTGGAAAGGACCACAGAGGGAGGAGAGGTTAACCAAAGAATATATGCATATATGCATAACCCAGGGCACAGACGGTGGTGTGATGAAGGCCTGGGGGGGGCGGGGGTGGAGTGGAAGGGAACAATGGGGGTAAAAAGGGGACATCTGTAATACTTGCAACAATAAAGATAATTTAAAAAAAAAAAAAAAGAAGTATCCTCAGTGTGAACATCAACAAAAATTGTGTGTAACTAACTCACCCATTCAGATTTAAATCTATTAGGCATTTTTTAAAGGTTTGTTTTTCTTCCTTTCTTGAACTTTTTTTCAAGCATCTAGTTGCAATTATTATGTGCACTACAGAAAAGTGCCTAGTAATAAATTTGGAATTGTAGAAATTACACCTTTAATTCCATAACTCCATCCCTAAAGTTACTAAGGATCAAAAATATTGCACCATTCTTGTCTGATGCTTTTAGTATAAATAGAAAACATGCTTATTGTAGAAATCATTGAGTAATATTTTGAAAGTCACTCATAACCATACCAACCAGAGAAAAAACAATATTCTAAGTATCTTGGGTATGCATCCATTTTTGTCCAATTAAATTTTATGTACATGATAACGGCTCATAGGTACACACCATAAATAATATCACCCACTTTAAAAGTAAGCCTTTGCAATTAAAATACCCCAAAGAGAAGTCAACCCCAGATTGGAGACGAGAAGGTAAATCTTTCACTGGAAATATAAGTGGTGAAATATTCTGAAGTAAATATATATATTTTTTTAATCCTCACCTGAGGATATTTTTTCCATTGCTTTTCAGAGAGAGTGGAAGGGAGAGAGAGAGTGTGTTATAGAAATAGATGTGTGTATTAGAGTCAGGAAGGTAAGTTTGATGCGTGTATTAGACTTGAAATAAGTAACTCCATTTTCTGTGACTGAGTGTAACTGTGAGGCCTGCGTGCCATGATAAGATTAACACTTTGTAGCCCCGGCCTCCAACCAGGCCCCTGCGCTCTATAGGACCCCATAAGACACACTGAAGATGCACCACACCCTTCAAAAAAAAAAAAAGCCTTTGTATAGAAAATAGAAGGTGATTATTATAGCAGCTGGTACTACTGATTCCTTAAGTAGCATCAATATCAGTTTACCTCAGATATTCTAAACTTACTAATATTGGTCTGCTTTGACATACTAACCACACAAAGTTTTCCTAAATATGTCCTTTGGGGGTATCCTTTCCAGATGGTATAATATTATTTGTATACCTCATATCCATCTTTTAGAATGCTGTATTAGTTATCTGTGTACACACCCTACCCATCTTCTAGAAGGCTAAGATTTCTAAGGAGAGTCATGTTTATCCTGGTTGCAAAGCCCAGCTTCCATTCCCTACCACTAGCATCCTGTGCAGAGCCTAATACTGGAAAAACACACACAACTTTAGTTGTGATCCCATATAGTTAGACTTATCGATAGTGGGCAGGCAGATCCAGGAAAGTCATTCAATGGCTTTCATGAGGGAAACAAAGATTTTACCAGCACATTCTAACTAGTGTCTTCTGCCAAACTGAGAGGAGACAGCCGGGAAACCATTTAATTACTAGCTAATTGGGATGTATTTTCTGTCCCTGTCTCATAAATGATAATGAGCATATGTAAATAAATGCAAATAACAGATTGAAAACAAAGGATCTTGTCCTTACTACAGAGACACGAGTTTCAATTGGGATTGTTCAGGGAGATGTTTGACCTCCATCCTCTTAACTTCTAATTGCCCATTAAAATGTCATGGTGTCCAGGTAGGCATACAATAAGGAAACTTGGTTAGACGCAAACAATTGTGTAGACACAAAATTTCATCAAAAACGTAATTTCTCTGCCCTGCCTGGATGGCTCAGCTAGTTGGAGTATCGTTTCATATACCAAAAGGGTGAGGGTTTGAATCCCAGTCAGGGCACATACCTAAGTTTCGGGTTTGATCCCAGTTGGGGTGTGAAACTGATGGATGTTTCTCTCTCACATTGATGTTTCTCTCTCTCTCTCTCTCACACCCCCTTCCTCTCTCTAAAAAAATCAATGAAGACATATCTTCAAGTGAGGATTTTTAAAAATTGCTCTGATATGTAGGGAAATAATGATTAACATTTTCTACAATCAGTTTTTTTAACACCTAGGAATTTTTTTCATTAGAAAAAAATAATTATATGGTTAAAAATATACTCAGTTAATTCTTGTTACAGGAAACAAGTTAGCCCTCAAAGATATATCACATTGTATTTCAAAACATGAACTTAGCAAATCTTTCTATTTGATGAGCAATCTCTGAGACAAAATTCATGTAAATTACAGATTTAAAGTATCATTATTCCTCAGGAAACAGTGTCTTAATTTTAATGAGTGTTTTAAGAAACCTAGATTAACCATAATGGATTGTTTAAAACAGTGATTAGTAGGGCACATTAATTTCCCAATAACATGTGGCATTGTAGGAACATTCTTTATAGGATTAAAATTTTTTGAGATATGAATATATTTCAAAATAATTTTGCCCTCCCAAAAGTTAAAGTCCTAAATCCAAATATGCACTAAAATATACATAATGTT